CAAAATTCAATAAGTTATTTATATTCAACTAATTACAATTATATTAACTTTTAAAAATAATTTTTTAAAAAAAAATTATATTAACTAATCGCTATCGAAAATTATATTAAAAATAAAAATTTAAAAATAAAAATTATATTAAATTTTAAAAGTAACAATTTTAATATTAAAATTGAAAATTTATATAATTTTAATCATTTGGAGGCGGTTACACGTTATTTGGAGGCAGTTAAGATAACCACCTCAGATTGTCTTTTGGAGGCGGTTAAAATAACTGCCTCAGAATATGTTTTGAAGGCGGTTAGGATAACCGCCTCAGATTGTCATGTAGAGGCGGTTATTCCAACGGTTTCTAAAAACTGCCGCGTTTTGTCTCGTGACGGTGATAAACGAGGCAGTTTATGAATTGCCGAACCAAACCGCCTCTAAATGTAAATATAACCGCCTCTAAAAACCAGTTTTCTTGTAGTGATAATTAATAAGTAAAGTTTAAACCTTAAAGTAAGTGGTTATTAAGGGTCTTTTGATTAATAACTAATTACAACTTAGTCATTTGGGTTAGTCTTATAATAATGGCTATATATATATATATATATATATATATATATAGGAGCAGGATATTCTTACACCGGTGTAAGAGTTAGAAGTCTTAAACTCAATCTTGAGCATTGATCTACTTGTATCTAATGGCTCACATTACTAAAAAATTAGAGCCCTAAGATATAAGTGGAATCAATGGTCAAGATTGAGGTCAGGATCATTTTACACCAGTGTAAGTTACACTTTTAATCTTGACCATTGATTCCACTTATATCTAAAGGCTCTAATTTCTTAGTAATGTGAGCCATTAGATACAAGTAGATCAATGCTCAAGATTGAGTTTAAGACTTCTAACTCTTACACCGGTGTAAGAATATCCTGCTCCTATATATATATATATATATGTGGGCCAGGATCATTTTACACCAGTGTAAGTTACACTCTCAATCTTGTCTGTTGATCCCACTTATATTCAAAGACTCTAATTTTTTAGTAATTTGAGCCATTGGATACAAGTGGATCAATGGTTAAGATTGCGTGTCAGACTTCTAACTCTTACACCGGTGTAAGAATATCCTGCCTCTATATATATATATATATATATATATATATATATATATATATATATATATATATATGCAATTTTCAAAATAATAAATTTATCAACTTTGCGGGTGCTATACAATTCAACATTAAATATACGAATACTTAAACGAACTTAAAAAAGCCTTAACTAATAGGTCTTAGGTGTGCATCAACCAATTTGTTTTACTCAGACACACAGGTAAAATTTGTAATTTAACCGTATATAACGACGAAAAGTCAATAGTGAAATTATTGTTAACAAAATAATAAAATTTCTATAAACTAAGTGTTAATTATTAATTGGGGATTAAGTCTCTACTGTTGCAGAAAAAAAAATTAAAATCCTGCAGATACAATTCTTTATGGGACCCACTATTTTCTTAAAAAAAATACAAATAATATGACACTTTTTTCCATGAATCAACAGGAAAATAATTTTTAAATCCTATAATATAAGAATTAAATTTCCCTTATTAATTAGCATTAAAATATTTATAGAAGATATGTACAAATAAGGGTGGTCAATGCATAGGAAAAGCAAGAATTATTAGGTTCAACAATTGCAGCTGAATGTGATAGATATTTAACACGCTATCTATTCTAAATTCCAAAAGCTTGATGAATTGATAAAAGGAAAAGTATGTGTTAATTTAAAGAATATAAAAATATGTCATTTTAAGTGAGAAAAAAAAATAGATCATCAAAAGAGAGAGCGAAAAAAAAATAAAAATATTTGTTTTATTTCTTTATGAAAATAAGATGACATAAATTATATTATCTAAAAGAACAAATATTTTTTCATTGATAAAATGGAGAAAGTGCTACTTACCTTCCCTCTAGAGAAGCCTAGAACTATAGATGAAAACGATAGCCATATTTTATTCAAAAGATCCAGAAGGTTGGCGGTGTCTTTTAGAAAAGAAAATATTAAAAGTGCCTCGGTGCTTTCCGAAATCTTAATCCTACATTATAAATTTATAATAATAATCTTCAGAAGCTTTGAGAAGCACATAAAGTTTCCACTTTTATCATGCTTCTGTGGCCATGAAATCTACTATTTTCTTCCCTTCAATCATTGACCTGCATTGCCCATTTTTGGAAAAGTAGTCCCTTTTTAATTTTTAATTGTCACAAAAATTTGAATGTGGTTTGGGAAGAAAAGCTCCATCAAAAAATTGGCACAGGTATGGTAGCACTCCATTATCATCTTTCTTCCGTATTCTTCCAAAAACATCTCTGCTCTTGGATCACATGGCTCTGCGCATTAAAATCCACATAGTAGGTTATATTTAAGGGAAATATAACTTTGACGTTGTAGGAGAAATTTTCTTCTCATATAATAAATTAATATTATATATTATGGGCAGTATATATTTATAATTTTAATTTTTTTTTTCTTTTCTCAAAGACTCTCAGTTGGCAAGAGAAAGAAAAATTAAATTTTTTTTTTAGTAAATAAAGAAAAATTAATTTTAATATTATAATTATGAGTTTGGTGTTTATCATTTTAAATGACATAAGTTATCTCATTTTAGGAGAGAGATAGACACAAGAAAGTGGAAATCATGTGAAAGAGAAAGTTGGTGATTTTTTTTAATTTTAAAATTTAAATAAAAAAATTTCTGTGTTTATCTCTCTCTTAAAATGACATAACTTTATATCATTTAAAATGACAAATAATTTTTCCTATAATTATATATTACAAGTAATACATAGTATTAATTAATTGGAGAAAAAATTTCTTTTTCAACAACGTAAAAAGTTGGGACCCTATAAGCCAATTTTATTTTATTTTTTGAAAGAATAAAAATCATTCCCTTTTCCGAAAAATTATATGATTTTTTCGAATGAGATATTGTTGTTTGTGCACGAACATCAAAAACTGTTTTTTTTTTTTTTCCACAAAAATTTAAACAAAATAAAGTTAGTCTATATTGCTCTGATCTACGACAATCCAAATCTTAATATTATTATTTTTTTATTTTGGAACGAATGGGCCGTGAGAAAAATAAAGATCAACTTGTCTAACTTCTAACCCATCAATTTGGTACCATAGTTTGCTGAGTTGATTTTTTTTTTCCATGTATTTTTTTTTTTGGTAAAGTGTTTTTTTTTCCCAATTATTTATCTTGCTCAGTCTTCTCTTACTCATGACGAAAATACACTTATGCAACTTTTTTTCTTTTCTCATTCTGGCCGCCGCTTTATTTCCTGTCATCTGTGTCTTAATCACTAGAATTTCTCGCTTTCTTTCTTTTTGGAACGCTTGTTTGAGGAAAAAAAATTTGAATACTAAAAAAATGGTTAGAAAGTAAGTTTAGTATAAAAATATAAAAAAAATTGTTTGGTTGAAAAAAAATTTATCGAAAAAATTTAATAAATATTATAAAGTCTATGTTTAGTTTGTGTTAAAATATTGATGGAAAAATGAGTTGCAATTACCAAAATACCCTTTATTTTTGAATATTTTGAATCTCATGTCGTCTATGTTTGATTGTGTGAAGAGTACTCTCATCAGAAACTAGAAAGCAGATTTCCCATAGTAAGAATAACTAGAAAGCAGATTTCCCATAGTAAGAATCATTCGCACCTTCTCGCATGTAGATCAAACTCATCTGGTATTTTCTTTTGCTTATACTTGGACTCGTGATTGTTAAAAGAAGCCACAAAAACATGGACAACCATTTGGTATTTTCTTTTGCTTAAGTTCTTCCCAACCTGAACGAAAAACAACCATATGCAGCCTCGTGATTGTTAAAAGAAGCCACAAAAACATCCATTCATACGAGTTATGTTAAGAAAATAGGAATCATTCAGTGTCATAAATCTATCAGAAATTGCCACATCATTTTAGACTATTCAAACCTATAGAAATTGTCTCTGTTCATCGCACTCTGCTTCCGGTACCTAGGCTGAAGGATGAAAGTAGCTTTATAAGAAGGTAATTTTGGTAGTTATGGTGTCAATTTTTTTTTTTCATTTACCTAGTTATTGTAAAATACCATCTTGGAAGTGGGATTTGAGTACCATGCATTTTATCAGATTTTGCAAACAATTATCAATGGCTAGACAAGTCACTTAGCTAGGAAAATTTTTTAATACCCTGTACCAAACATGAACAATCCCAAATGTCAATCTCATATGCCTAGGTAAATTTCATGAAAGCTGCTACGAAACACAACCTTATATACATGAATCCGCTTGCTCTTCGACTTGGTTAGTTTTTATTTATTTTTTTATCATGAGGCTCATACAACATCGTAATTCATAGCATAATTTAATTTATCTAACACATGATGAATTGCTGATTATTATCATGAATCACGTTTTTTTTAAAAAAAAAATCCACATGAATATTTATAAAATATACCAAAGCACATTCTGTAAGTGATTAAAAAAGAAAGAAAAAACCTAGCCTTTTGTATCATTTAAAAAAATAGTAAGTGTAAACCTTCAAATTTAGTATTTGGAATACATCGTTCAATAATTTCTTTTATTAAATTAATCTCTTAAATATAATAAATAAATAATAAATTGTAAAAAAGAAAAAAAATTATATTTCTATAAATCTGATAGAATAAAAAATCTTTAAAAGTTTCAATGTAACCAGGTTTAAAATTTAAATAATTAATTAAAAATGTTACAATAAAAGAAAAGAACTAAACATGAATGCATCCTACGCAGTAGCTTATCAAAAATATAATATAAGGTTTTATAAGAGTTATAAAGTAATCGTATAATGTTATAGAAATTCGTTTAGCGTACTTTAATTTTTTTTATTTTTTGTTTCAAAAAGTACGGACTCCACGAGATGTTATGTGTGTAAAACTTTTTTGTGTCATCTGACATGATAGATACAAACTTATATAATATATTCACATGATTATGACTATTGAAATTTTCACTAGCAAGTAAAATAATTTATAGGACTAAATAGAATTCTCAACGCTATTGGCAAAGGTAAATCTACAGAAGAAGTCCAATTTAATGCTCAAAAAACAAAAATGCAAAAAAAGAAAGGACAAGATAGTATCGTTTTCTTCTGACTTGTGGGACGAACTTGCTTGCATCCTCTGAGAAACTTCTGGGAACCGGTCCCAAACGGTTAAACGACGCACGTGACCGATTCGTCACGTGCGCCTCCGCGTGCTTGGTCTCGTATTCCGTACGCTACCACGTATCTAATTAAATTGTTCATTCATTTAAGCACCTCCACGTGTCAATTACACACCCTCTGATTCGCTCTGTGGCATTGGTTAAGCCACGGCGATTCCTGATTACCGCTATGGTTATGAAAATCCAACGGCTCTGATTTCACGTCCGCATCACCCGGTTGATGCAGGCGCAGTAGCGTATCTTCCTCCTCCCCACCTCTTCCTCCGATACCGCCACCCTCTCTCGCTCGCTTCGCTCCAATCGCCACTCCAAACAGCTTCGGATTCAAATCCTCCACCGCCGTCTCCGCCACCATCTCCTCGTCGGAGCTTCGCTTCGCCGGCATCAAATCAAGCGGCCTCACCGCCGTCATGCCGGACTCTCTGCTTCCTTGCCGGCAGACGCCGCCTCCGCCGCCGTCTGTTTGGTTGTGTTGGCAGCTGCCGTTGTTGTTAGCGTTCGCGTAATTCGACATGAGACTATATATATTGTGGCAGAGCGATCTCATGTCTGCGAGCTCCTTCGTGAGCTGAACGTTCTCTTTCCTTAGCCTCTCGTTCTCGTCTAGAAGCTCCGCCGGCGCTAGCGACGGTGACGAGTTCGACGATATCACCTGCTCCTCGCCTGAGTTCGACGGCGATATGATCGGCATCGCTGTCGGAATCGCAGTCAACGGAAGCGGCGTAGGAACCGCAGCTGACGTGGTTGTCGCCATGGCCGTCACCGTCGGCGAGGGCGACGGAGACGAGATCTTCCGCCGTTGGATTTCACATAGAAGCCGTTTCTCTCCTCTGCGGAAATACTCGTTGGAGAATTCCCACCGATCAGGTACAACTTTTCTGAATCCCTGCAAATCAAGCAAAAAAATGAAAACAATAAATTTCAAAACATCAAAATCCGAAATAAAAAAAATCAAAAAAAAAAAAAATTAACGATGATTAAGAAAAGTGAATTACGTAAGTGTTGAGTTGGCGAACGAAGCTGGAGAAATTGTTGTGCTTGAAATATTTAGGGAGCAAGTCTCTGGCGAAGACGGTAGGGTTCCAAACGATGAAGGTGGATCCGTCTTCGTTCCAAGAAATCACGTCGTCTATGGATTGGTCCTCGACGAGCTGATAGGTTTTGGTGAGAAACGGCGTCGGAATAGATCTCTGAGACTCTGCGACGGTGGCGGAGTCTGCGTTGTGTTCCACCGGCGGCGGTGGAGCCATGATATGAAAGAGTTGCAGATCAATGGAGTTAGTTTTGTTGATCGATGTTGAAGAAGCAGAGAGAAAGAGAGAGAGAAAGAGAAACAGAGAGAGGGGAATTGTTATAGTGGTTCTAGAAGGTTCCGTTGGGAATATAATCGTAAGGATGAAGATGAGAGAGAGAGAGAGAGAGAGAGAGAGAGGAAATGTAAAGGAAAGGGCGAGAAGGTACTGCGTTACGTCTTATGTCGAGAAAGTTCCGGGGCGAGAAAAGAGGATTTGTTTAGTTTAATGTAAACCGCATTTATTTGCATGATGATGCGAGTTGAACTCTTACAGCGTGGTACTAACATAACTTCCACGGCTCCTCGCGCAATACAAGAAGCTTCTACACTTTTTTAGGACAAAAAAATTGAAGATCATTCTACTGTTGTCTTTTAATAAGGCAAGAATAGTTATTAAACTTCGAAAATTGAGTTGTTCATTCTAGAACTTCTTTTATTTTAATTTTTTTTAATATTCGAGTGAGAAATCAGTTACTTAAATTTAGTAGTATTCTAGAAATTTAATGTAGAATTGAAACTCAAGAAAATATTCGACAACTAGCGTTTAAAAAAATGTTTGTGAATGTTTGAAAGCAGTTATAGCAATTGAGCAGTGAATGTTATTTAATTAGACCGGAGTTTTTATCAACTGCATAATCCTCCTTGAGTTTTTTTCTGTCTCAAGAAATAAAAACAGTGTGAATGTTAGTAGTCTTGTCATTTTTTCATTGGTATTTTTTTTTTATACATTTTTCATTTGTATTTAAATGAGAAATGTTGGTATTATATATATATATATATATATATATATATATATGTTTTTTTTTCTCGTGTTGCATGAGATAAATTATCTCATGCAACACACAAAAAGTGAGTGGGATCCAATTTTTTATTTTCTCTTTCTTTTTTCTAGTGAGTCTCATCCACTTTTTTGTGTGTTGCATGAGACAATTTGTCTTAGGCAACATGAGAAAAATAAAATCCTATATATATATATATATATATATATATATATATATATATATATATATATATATATATATATATAGAGCAAGATATTCTTACACCGGTGTAAGAGTTAAAAGTTGTAACCCCCCGTGTATACTCAGTTTGTTAACATGCCATCGTATTAAACCATGCTTAATTAAAAATGCAGAATATTCTTTTTCTTTTCAATTATGACGTCATTATCCTTACCAAGTTGAATGACTTAATTCTTTTCCAAAACATTGCCTGTATGTAAATGCAAAAGACAGATATCATTACTAAATAACCTCATAACATAATTAAGATCATTAACTGTGTCTTTAGTCACGACACTACAACACGTAAGCCAGACAACCCTGATAGTTTATACAACTCAAATCTAAACAACAATACATAATCAAAAGTGGCATGGACAATCCCCACGCTCACCAAATAAGGCAACAAGGCCCAACAACAGTCTCAACACTCTCAACAATAACAACATAATCATAAAGATAACATAATAGCATTCAGCATATAATCATAACAGCAGACATCTAACTCAGCTCCGACCTCCTGCCGCTAGAGGTCTTAACCTCTACATTACTTGAACCTGAAATATGTGCCCCGAATGTGGGTGAGATCTCTAAACAAAGTGGTCCTCAAGGATCTTCCACCCCAAGCTCACTTACATGTGCAATATAAGTCCTAAAAGCAGTAATTCAATATCAGTTCCAAAACCAGTGCAATGCAGCAGATAATCATGTCATGTGTGTTATAACTATTCTACTGATCAGAGAAGTGCATGAATACGTCTATTACCCACACAGTACACGCCCATGTTGTACCCGCCCCCAGGACCACCCCATGGCTTCCTGGCTAGGCGAAACACCACATACATATCATAAGGCAATTGCACTTAACAACTCAATAGCATTTCGATAAAACAGTACATGAAAACACATCATGCATATAACCATCCCCATGGGTCATGGTGGAACAAACAATGGCTAAACCGAGGACTCGAAAGCTTACCTTTCAAGCTAGCTATCCAAACCAAGAATCCAACCAAGCTCAAAGTTCACACACAACACAATCACAATCTGTTTGGATCAATAATCACATCAATATTCATACTCAACAAACATATGACATAAAGACAACGTCGTTCCTTTACGTTTCATGTCTTTAGGCTCCTCACAAAGCCATAAGCCCTTAATCACTTAGATTCTGACTTAGATTAATCACTACAGAAGTCTCACTTCATCAATCTAGGGTCCACAAACCCAAAACAGCCTTCTGTAAGAACAGTGCAGCTACTGTTCTTCGAAAACCCAAAATATCTGGATATATGTTGGGGGCATATCTGGATATCAATATCTGGATATCACAGAGCCCATATCCGGATATCAATATCCGGATATTTCGCGATAAAATGCAGTTTCTGCATTTCGCGCGATATCACTTCCAAGGTTCCATTTTTAACACTTCTAAACGTTAAAACATGTTTTTGTACTCTCTTTTAAGTTCATATACTGATTGGTTACTTGTTTAACCCATTAACATGCCAAGACTCAACCTTTAAACAAAGAAAACTCATGATCAAGGTTGGTGACACTTACCCAAGGCTCAAACTCAGAAAAAGGTTGCTCTTAGAGCTCACCAGCCAGCTCCAAAGATTCTGACTACAAGGTGCACGAAAATGGCACACAAAGATGGGTCCTTTCTTTACAAAGGAAGCTTCTTGGAGCTCCACAAGCCAAGAAGATAACCCCCACAACCCAACACAAGAACTCAGCCCCCCAAAGACTACCAACGCAGAAACTAAACTCAGAAAAGAAGCATCTTTCACTCTCCCAAGGCCCAAGCACACTCCCACTAGGAGATTTGGTGAAAAAACAAGAGAAAAGGTGGCCTCTTGGCTCACAAAGATGGAGAGGAAGGTGGAAAGGGTGGCTGACTACAAAGGCTCTAGCAATTGCTATGTAGAGATGCAAATATTAGACCTAGGATCATGTGCCAATCTTATATATAGCCACTTAAGTCTTAATCGCACTGTATTAGCGCTAAAAGCTACGCTTAACATTTTAATCCCAAACTTTGGAATCTGAACCTACTCATTTTTTTAAGATTTATCATATTTTTATTTTATTTTTCGTAACACCTTTCCGGTACGCGCTTTTCCATAGCCAGTATCAGTTCTGGCACCAGTTCTCATTATTTTAACTTGAAACTTGAAATCACAGTCCTATATATTATTCTAGGAATATTCACGCACTTATTATAATTTTCTGGGATACTTCATCGGTACGCATTTATACCGAGTAGCAGAACTGGTATCTGCACTTTTCATCAGAAAAGTGACTTTCAGCATTATTAATCACTTACCATATTTATTTAAGCCTTCTCATAATTATTAGGGTCAATTATGGAATTATTTCCTAATCTCTCATAATTCATTAATTAACTTCCTTAATTAACGGTGCGGGTTCTTACAGAAGTCTTACACTCAATCTTGACCATTGATCCACTCATATCCAATGGCTCACATTACTAAAAAATTAGAGTCCTTAGATATAAGTGAGATCAACGGACAAGATTGATAGTGTAATTTACACTAGTGTAAAATGATCCTAACTCATATATATATATATATATATATATATATATATATTACCTTTGTAACTACTAGCGTATTTTCTTGTATTACTTTCCTCCAATAATAATAATAATTTAAACTTCTATGAAAAAAATTCTACTGTCAGATATTTATGATTTTGTTTTACCCAAATATAATTATTTTGTATTTAAATTTTAAAGTAAATAATATAAAGTTGTAAATATTTCTTATTTTTCTGTTGTAATTACTTTTAACATTACTATTTATCTTAACAAAAAACAAATAAAAGTGCAAATTGACAGTCATTCAATAATATTACTTTTTTATTATTAGTAAATGTGAAAATTCAAATGGTATTTTCTTCAAAGGAATTTTTTTTTTATTTTGGCAGAAAAAATATTTTTTGATTACACTCACATAAAAGTGAGTGTGTTTTATTATAAAGAAAAGAAAAAAATTAATATGATTCGTTCACTTTTAAGTGAGTGTGACCAAAAAAGAAAAGTCTTCTTTATAATTTGAATTTTGTCCTTTAATAATTTTTTATCCAAATCTATTTTTATTAATTACTCATTTGGGATAAAACAAATTTTTTTTATAGATACATATTATTACTCATTTGAAGTTTTATTGAAGAATAAAATTATAATAAATACTTATTACTTTCTAATTATAATTATCTTTAAATATTTCTCAACTTCTATACAATATAATCCACTTTAAACACTTTTCACTGTTAACTTTGGTAGATATAATAATAATAATAATAATAATAATAATAATAATAATAATAATGATGATGATGATTTTGTTAGTTGAGTCTAACAATTGTTGAGGTTAGCAACTGTTGAGTTTGCTAGTAGGTTAAAGGATAAGTCAGTTACCACGTGTAGCAAATAGGTTAAAGTCAGTTAAAATTGAAATAAAATATATAAGAAAATAAGGCATACTAGATCATGATTCATTCAGAATAGAATAGAAGAGTAGAATAGAATAACCTATTATAACCTACTTTTATCTAATGTTTGGTAAACTAACAAGATATGATAAACTTATCGTATTTGCTAATTTTATCCTTCATAGAAACAGATATCATATCCTGAGGGATAGGTTGGGTTAGGATTCAGCCGAATAGTATAACAAAAATAAATGTGAGATTTGGATGAAAAACTCCACGAGCTACCTCGACATTCACCTCCTTTACCTCTAACGCTCCAACGAGGTTCTCAATATCCTCAACTTCGATGCTAACCACATCTACTCTAGTATCGTCTCCATCTATTACCTTGCAGATGATGACAGCACCAAGTTAGATTTTTTCTTATGTTCATCTAATATCTATAATTAGGAATAGCCATGTTATAAACTTCACAAATTATGGGTAATTAGTTTTTTAAATACACAAGTCGTTTGAGAAATTAATCGAGTAGGTTTTATGGTCAAAACCCAAGTAACAAATATGCAGGGAGTAGAATGTCTTGTGCCACATTCAATGTTGGAGATTTTTTGAATCTTCATAAATGCACCAAGCATGGAGGTTCCAAGACATTTGGGTTCAGACACCACTTTACACAAGTTATCTTCTCTATCTTTTGAGATTGTCAAAACTGATATTTAAATTCAAATGTTTGTTTCCAAATTCAAATTATTCCTTGTAAATAGGCATAATAGTTTATTAAGATAAGTATGGAAGGTTGTTG